AGAAAAAGTGAGAAATCATTCCCCAGGGAGGATTGCCATGCTACAATCCCTTCTCCTGCACTCTCCTCTTGTAATTTGGGGCACACACACACACCCAGTGTGTTCTTCAAGCCTTTGCATCTGAGACTCGAATCATGGAGTAAGCCATGTAGGATCCAGCCACTTTAACCACCTGCCACCTGACTGGCCTCATTTTAATTTATTTTATTTTCCTTTTCTTTTCAGAGTGTTCTGGAAGTTACATTTCTTTTCTTAACAGATTTTCTTTTTTTTGGAGAGGTTTTTGCTATAGGGCGCATGCGCTTGCCAGAAAGACAGAGGGAGACAGAGAGACAGAAAGTGAAAAGTCCCCCGCCAGGGGGATGGCCATGGCACAATCCCTTCTCCTCCATTCTCCTCTTGGGATCTTGGGCACGCACGCGCCCGGCGTGTTACTAGGAGGGTTGGGAAAGGTAGAGAAAGAAGATATAACAAAACCAAACAGTAGCATTTTGTAAGTCTTAAAAGGTTGACTTCTCACAATTCTTACTAGCTGGTTGACTCATTTGGTACCTAATATAGTATTGCTTGTTCTGGATTTAACTGTACTATGTATGTGTTTTGTCTCCCAGAAACTCTAATCAGTTGCTGCTAGAAAGCTGCAACTATGCTTCACTTTGTAGTTTCTAAAGTGGTGTAACCACTTTGGAAAACAGGCAGATTCTTAAAATGTTAAATAATCCTAGAGAAGGAAAAGGACAGTAAGAAAAAAAATTAAGAAAATCTAAATGAGGAAATGACTTTAGTTAATAATAATGTATCAATTTTAGTTCATTAATTATTTTAAAAATGTACTTAAGGGCCAGCAGATGGTACATTGGTTAGGGCACTGGACTTCCACATGGCTGACCATGGTTCAAACCCTGGACCTGTTGGCTTGCTCTCTCACTTTCCCTCCCTCTCTCTCCCTCTCACTGTCCCTCTCTGGTGAGTGCACTGCCCTGTAGCAAATATGAAATAATAATAAATAAAATTAGATAAAAATTATTTTAAAATGTACTAAATTGTAAAAAATAGCAACTTAAAATATTGCTAATTGGGGAAACTAGTGTGAGGTATATAGGAACCTGTATTATCTGTATTATCTTTACAAGTTTCATATAAATAAAAAATTATTCTAAAAAATAAAGCTTATTTTTAAGAGAGCTGCAGATTAACTAAAGGAGTTAAATGTATTGGGTCATTGAAAAAGTCATGACATGTTTTTCTATGCAAAAATATGCCACGACTTTCCCAATGACCCAATATATGTACCATTCAGTCACTGTATGTCTGAGTATTTAGGCAAGAAATAAAGGAAATGTGTGTGTGTGTGTGTGTGTATTCATAGCAGTCTTATTTGTAATAGTCAAGTTGTAGACAGCCCAAATGTTCATCAACAACTAAGCGAATGACCAAGTTGTGGTACATCCATGGAATAGAATATTATTTGACAATAAAAAGAAAGTATGAACTATTGAAATACATCACAAAATGGATAAATCTCAAAATAATTGTGTTAGAAGAAATAACCTAGATAACAATGAGTACTTACTATATAATTATTATATAAAACTCTAGAAAATAGAAAACGCAGAGTGAAGGGCCAGATGATGACACAGCAGTTAAATGTGATGTTCTATGGGACAATCTCAAATAGGGAAGGTAACTAGATCAAATCCTGAGGCTTGCCTAAAAACTGAGACTGAGTGGTGGATCTCACACCTATTAGGAGTGCTCTCTCTTTCTCACTCTCATTTTCTCTGTCTCACTCATGGAAGAAATAAAAAAATATATTTCAAAAATACAGACTGATTTATAGTAACAGGAAGATCAATGTTGTGGGAAAAGGGCTAGAGGGAGAGATTTCAAAGGGGCACCAGGAGATGTGGGGGTGATTGATATGATATCTACATTGTGATGGTGGTTTGATAGATATATACATATATCAACCTGTCCTTACAGATTGTATACTTTAAATAGTATATTGTTAATTGTATGTCATTTATACCCCTTTAAAACTGTTTATCTAAAACTGAGTTATATACAGAAATAGGGAGATAATTATCTAAGGCTCATATACTTATAACCCTTGATCTTAGAATCTATCTCTGAATTTCAGGTAGCTAACTGTGTACCAGTTTAGCAGTTTGCCTATTACTTTCCCTTTGGGGCAAATTAATAACAGTTTATTGCTCTGAAATATGAATAGTAACCCTTATAGTCTTACACAAGCAGAGACAATGATAGTAATCCTAAACATGCATCTTCTAAAACAATGTAAAAGAAATTCAGTTGTATTGATTTCACATAAATCTTAACTTGAAATTGCCTAATAAAATGTTATTGTCAAAAATTAGGAATCTTAAAGAATAAATGGGAATTAATACTTAAGAATTATTTGTAGTATTGCATTTTACTGATTTTTTTTCTGAAAATCTGCTCTGTTCCATGCAATCAGAAGTTAAAAAAAAAAGCTTTATTGATATTTAACTTCTACACCTTAGAATTCACCTACTGAAAGTGTGCAAATCATTGCTTTTTATGATATTCACAGATATGCACAACTATCCCCACAGTCAATTTTACAACACTGTCATCACCTCAGATACCACTTAATGAGTGTAAGATTTCTTTTGGAATGATGAAATATTCTGGAACTAGACAGTGGGGGTAGTCACACATAACAAGCACACAAAATGCCACTGAATTGGACAATTAAAAATGGTGAATTTTACATTATGTTGCATTTTGTCACACACAAGAAATACATTCAGATGTTTTAACTATCACCCCCCCCCCATCATTCTACCCCTTCCTTCCAGCCCTAAGTAACCAGTGATCTACTTTCTGTCTCTACAGATGTGTCTGTTCTGGGTGTTTCACATAAATGAAATCATATCTATGGACTTTTGCCACTGGCTTCTTTCACTGAGAATGTTTTTGTGGTTCATCTATGTTGTGGTGTATGTCAGTACTTTATTACTTCTTGTGGCCATATAATATCTCTTTGTATGAATACACCACATTGAATTTATCCACTCATAATTGTAGAGATTTGTCTATTATAAATAATGCTCCTATGAATATTTGTATACAAATTTTTATGTGGATTTATATTCTGATTTCCTTTGGTTATATACCTAGGAGGGGCATTGTTGCATCCTAGAATAACTATGCTTAATCATTTGAGGAGCTGCCAGAGTGTTATCCAAAGTGGCTGTGCATTTTAACATTCCTACCAGCAACAGCATATGAAGTTTTCAATTTTTCCATATCATTGCTAGCACTTGTTATTATCTGACATTTTTTTAGGTTTATGGTTATCCTAGTGAGCAGGAAGTGGTATCATGTGATTTTGATTTGCACTTCTCTGATGACTAATGATTGAACACCGTTTTATGTAATTTTTTTTTTGCCTAGAAATGTGCTTCTATAGCCAATATTTTTCATAAGCTCATAGGGAGTTCATGGACCCTAAAAGTTATGAATCCCTAGTGTAGAGTTATTGAGTGAACACATGAGCAGTAATTACATATTATATTTAATTAAAGGAAATGATGTAAAGTGTATTTGTTTCACTTATACTGCTAAATAAGAAAGAAAACAGGAAGAATATATATATATATATATTTTTTTGAGAGGCTTTTGCTATAGGGAGTGTGTGCTTGCCAGAAAGACAGAGACAGAAGGCGAGGAATTACACCCCCCACCACCACCAGGGGGATGGTCATACCGCAATCCCTTCTCCTCCATTCTCTTCTCAGAATCTTGGGCATGCACTCACATGTGCCTGGCTTGAGTTTAAACTACTGGGTCCAGGACTTGAACTGCAGTAGACTACATGGGAGCCCAGCGACATAGCCATTATGCCAACTGCTGGTCCCTATATTTTGACATTAGTTACACTGAAACATTAGATTTATAATTAACTTCTACTACATGTTTCTTTCTTTCATTTATTTTTTTTTCATTTTTTTTAGGTTTTTGCCATAGGGTGCATGTGCTCACCAGAGAGGAGAGGGATAGGGAGAGGGAAAGTCAGAAATCACCCCCCTAGGAGGGATAGCCATGCCTCAGTACCTTCTCCTCCATTCTCTTCTCAGGATTTTGGGCACACATACACATGTTCCCAGTGAGATTTTCAAGCTGCCAAATCTGGTTCATGAACCATGGTCAGCCACATGGGGATCCAGCTGCTATAACCACCATGGCACCTGCTGGTCCCCACTACATGTTACTTAACATGGCTGTAGGAGGAAGGGTTCCAATTCCTTTCAGAATGAGGAATACATACTTCACATTACTATCTCTTAAAAGAAAGGGGAACTCCACAGAATAAGTAAGATAGGACTATACACACACACACAGTATTGAATAGAATTAGAACTCCAAAAGAATTGACATTTACACACCAGAAAGATATCTAAGTAACAAGAGAATTAAAAGAGTTCTAGGGTCATCATAAGCTGAAGGATCAGTCATTTTTTCAGGATGAGCTGCAGATACTGGGAAAAAATATTCAACAGAGTCAACAGTTATTTTGACTGAGTATCAGCCTACTACTGCCACTACAGCTTTGTACTTTATGACACATGAAGTTTGACTGTTTCCAAGGAGTAAATGAATATTTGCCCAGTGATCTGAGAAGTCACCTGCAAAGCCCAGGCCTTTTCAGTGATTGGATGGAGTAACAGTGGGCCTAAACTTTGGAAACTCAAAGGAATTTGGTAAGGCATCTTTGAGAGGGTCATTACACCATGATGGCATATTCCGAGAAACTGAGAAAACCCTCCTTAAGTTAGAAGCTTATACATTTTCATTTCTTAAGGCAGTTATCCTTGGTCTGTCCACCAGATCAGTTTTTTTAAGAATAGAATGATTGGGAGTTGCAATTGAAATCCTGGGCAGAATCCCTTTTAGGCTATTTCATTGCTTAACTGCAAAGACAGAAAAGAAAAAAAATAATTCAAGTTCTGTACCTTATTTCATCTTCTCGAATGTGACCTGCCAGTTCTTCAATAAACTTTTCCCCTTTCATCCAGTAGATCATTGGCCCAGACTCTCCACTGAATCCGAAGAATGCTTTGCAAGGGATGGCTTACCTGAAAAAGAAAGAAAAAGAAGTGAACAAATGACTGCTGTTTATCACTGGGAAGGGACCATTTAATATCTTGAACAAAAACTCAGAGATGACCTATTTTTCAGTTCTTTTTCGAATCATCTTGTCATTGTACATGAAAAGATATTTAAATAGTTATGAGGGTTTCTGAGAAATTTTAAAATTCAAGGTATTATGAAAAAATGAGAAAATAGGGCTGGCTCTATGGTGCAGAGGTTAAGCTCTGCATTTTGGGAGCAGGTCCTACATAGTCAACTGAGGTTCAAGTTCCAACACTGTGAGCTTGAAAAACATTCCAGGCACATATGTGTGCATGCCCACAATCCTGACAGGATAGAAAAGTGGAGGAAAAAAAGATTGTAGTATGACCACACCCCACTGGGGATTCTCTCTCTTTCATGTTCTCTCTCATCTTTCTCTCTCTAGAGAGCTGATGTGCCTTCTGGCAAAACAAAACAAACAAAAAAGGAAAGTCACTCAGTTTTAGAACTGTTTATTTTTTACTGCCTCACTCCAAGGAACTAATTTAAAGAAACAAATGGAAGTAATCCCCTTTATTTTTCTTTTTTGAGAGTACTAAGCACTGTTTATTTGGACTTGACTTTGAAGCTAACATTAATCAAAAGCATAATTTTTGATTAGTGAGAAGGTATATAATAATAGACTTTCCACTATTACTAAGATTGCACAAAAATTTATTTCTTCTTAGTTATTTTATGAAAAATTGGATAATACAAACTGTGATGGTCATTTTTAGGCATTAATCTGACTGGATTAAGACATACCCAGTTAAATGGTAAAGTATTATTCCTGAATATATCTGTGTGTGTGCGGGGGTGGGGGGGTCCAGAAGAGATTGGCATTTGAGTAGGTAGATTAAATAAGGAAGGTCCACTATCAATGTCAGTGGCTATCACCCAATTAATTGGGGACACAAATAGAATAAAAAGGCAGAGAGAAAAGGCAAATACACTGTCTTTCTCTCCTGGAACTGGAATATCCTTCTTTTTACTGTTCTGGACAACTGAATTCCAGGTTCTTTGGCCTTTGTAATCAGAGTGACACAAGGAGACCCTTGGGGTTCTCAAATCTTAGACTTCAAAATGAGAGTTACACCATCAATTTCCTTTGTTGACTTTAGGACTTGGAGTAAGCCATACTACTGGCATCCTTAAGTTACTAGCTTGTAAACAGTTTACTGTAGGACTTAGCCTCCTCAGTCTTTTCAACCAATCCTCTCAATAAATCCCCTCTCACCTATCTACCTACTTATTTACCATCTATCTATCTCTATCTATCTATTATCTATCAATCATCTGTCATCTATCTAGCTATCCATATCAAATTGGTTATGTCTTTCTGGAGAACTCTGAATAATATACAACCTAAAGGGGGATTTTTGTTTGCTTGTTTGTTTAGGATTTTGCAATAGGGTGTGTGTGTGCTTGCCAGAGACAGACAGAGAGAGGGAAAGTGAGAAATCACCCCCTGGGGGAGATGACCATGCTATAATTCACTAACCCATTCTCCTCTCAGGATTTTGGGCACACATGCACACATACCTGGTGTGATTTTCAAGCCATCAGCTCTGGGACTTGAACCATGCTCAGTCATGTGGGAATCTAGTGCCTTAACCCTGCCACCTGCTGGTCTCAGAAGGGAATTTTTTGAATTATAAATATATTCTCAGAAAAACACATGCATGGGAACCAGCAGTTAACATAATGGCTATGTCACTGGACTCCCACGTAGTCGACTGCGGTTTGCATCCCGGACCCGGTAGCTTAAAACTCATGCCGGGCATGTGTGTGTGCATGCCCAAGATCCCAAGAGGAGAAGGGATTGTGGTGTGACCATCCCCTCTGGGGGGTGATTTCTTGCTTTCTGTCTCTATGTCTCTCTCTGTCTGTCTGGCGAGCGCACGTGCCTTATAGCGAAAACCTCTCCAAAAAAAAAAAAAAAAGAAAAACACATGCAGGAAAAATTATGTCCTCCACATTTTTTGTTTCATTCATAGCACTTAAATAATTCTAGGCAGTATTTCAGCTCGGTTTCACTTTTTATTATGTATCTTTGTGTTTATAGGTAAAACTTTTGTTTTAACTATAAATTTCTCACCAAATACATTATGCAAGCAATTGTTTTATACTGATAATTGATTTTATTTTCTTCTTTCAAAGTATTATCAGTAAAGAAGGAATAGTATAGAGAGCACAATCTTAACATTCGGACACAGGAATTCCTCAATTCATAAATCATAATATAGCATGCAATTTTCTCCATAACATGCAAGTTTTGCCTTTGTTAGAGCACTAGATAAAGCAATTCCAAAAATATTTTTTTTCCTGTGCCCATGGTAGACTTGTTCCCATCATCGCTTTGAGTCATGGACAAATCCTCCACTTTACACTTAAATTGATCCAAAACTTCCATGTTCCAAGAGCCATTATTTTCTCAAACTGTTTCTTTTTATGCACTGGAACTAACAGATGGCTTTTTCTGTGGACTATTTAGGGTCTACATCAATACTAAGTGGAGGGTCAGCACTGTGGAACAGCATTACAGTGCTGCTCAAGAGAAGCTGGATACCACATTTATACTACTGCTTGAATCTCTGGGGAGCAGCCTGAAACATGCTGGGCATACACATGAGTACACAGGGTCCTACAGGCTGGAGAGCTAGAGGATGTTGTATGATGTGACCAGTCCCTGTGGTGCTCATCTCTTTCTCACACTCACTTGTGCATGCATGTGCTCTATCATAAATAAATTTAAAAGGAAGAGACAAAGTGGAGAGTAAGAAAATATAAGACCAGCATTCATCTCCTGGCCCACCCTAAAAAACTACAAATGGTGGCACATGCCTATAATCTCAGGTACTTGGGAGGCTGAGGCAAGATTGTAAGCTGTAGACTCATAGCCAATGTGGAGAGTATAGCAAGACTATGAAAGAGCTGGTTGTGGTGGTATGTGCCTATAGTGCCAGCTACTCAAAGGAGCTGAGTCAGGAGGCTTTCAGAACAAGGATATCCTTGTCTTATCACACACACACACACACACACACACACACACACACACACAAACCAAACAGACATTTAGATACTGAGTGAGAGCTGGGCTGTTCCATAATGAGAGAGTTGTTGCCAACTACTAGTTAGACTATAGTGCAAATTTATACTCAGCAAAATGACATGTTATAGATCTTTTGATCATCCCACAATTGTCAAAATCATTGATGTCAAGAGTATCAGACATATATGTATGACAAGCCGATGGTATAATGGTTACATTGTTGTATTCCCACATAGTTGACTGTGGTTCTAGTCCTGGACCTGGTGGCTTAAAACTCATGTTGGGCATGTGTGTGTTCACGCCCAAAATCCTGAGAAGAGTATGGAGAAAAAGGGATTGCAGCATGGTCAGCCCCACTTGTGGAGGTGATTTCTTACTTTTTGTCTTTCTCTGTCTCTCTGGCAAGTGGAAATGCCCTATAGCAAAAATCTCAAAAAAAAAAAAAAAGGTGTCATATATGTCTGGTACAAATCTGAAACAAGGTTATTCATCATTGTTTGAAGATATACTCTGCCATATAAGGTTGTGCAAAAGTGAAAGAGTCACATATAGTGTAAAGTGCATTGGAATAAGAGTCAGAAAACTTGGATCCTAGTTTCAGATCTATATGAACAAGCAGACTGTTTGGCCCTGGGCAGATTACCTAGCCTTTTGTAAACTGATCTTTTTTTTTGGGGGGGGGGAGAGGTTTTAACTATAGGGCACGTGTGCTCGCCAGACAGAGACATAGAGACAGAAAGCGAGAAATCACCCCCAGGGGGGATGGTCACGGCTGCAATCCCTTCTCCTCCATTCTCCTCTCGGGATCTTGGGCACACATGCACACACACCCGGCATGAGTTTTAAGGCACCGGGTCCGAGACACGAACCACGGTCAACTACGTGGGAGTCCAGCAACATAACCATTACGCTAACTGCTGGTTCCCTAAACTGATTTCTCATATATGTAATGAAGATTGTAATAATACTGGAGAGACTTTGAAAAGACAATACATGCAAAAGTGCTTGGTAAACTCAAAAGTCCCATTCAAATCTAGCATATTTTCTTCATGAGTATTGTTCATCTAAGTAGAAGTTGATAAAATACTTGTTTCTTTATTCATGATAGAGCACTTGTGGATACACATGGAAGTGTGTGTGTGTGAGAGAGAGAGAGAGGGAGAGGTACTCTCCATTGGGTCTGGTCATGCTGTGATCCCTTTCTTCCAGTCTTATAGCCTGATGAATTTTGGATGCTAGCACATGTGCCCATCAAGTTTCAGGCATGTTCAGAGATTCAAACCAGGGTCACCATGTGGGATCTGACTTCTCTTGACTAGCATATTACTGCTGTGGCACAGATTTGGCCAGTAGAAGTAAAATTCGAGGCATAATATGATGTTGAAAGTAAGATAGATACATATTTATTTTGACCCTGACAATCACATGCTCTTTTATTTATGAGTTTCTATAAGGTAATGCTCTTTTCTTTTTAATGTTTTATAAACATTTTCTAGATTCTATAGTAGGTATGATTCACCCAAGTAGACTCTGAGTTCTCTAAATCTGAACACAGGTTTTTCTTTTTTTAAAAAAAATATGCTTAGCTACCCTTCATTCCCATGAAATTGGAGGTATTAAAGAACATCAAACCAGATGGCAGAAAATCCAGAGATTGTGATAAACATTATTATAAGGGATCCCAGTTGCTAAAACTACCAGTATATACATTTATACACATAAATTTTGGTTGTCATTCCTTTGGACTATGTTGAAAAAATATATCAAATGAAATGCCTTTTAGTGATTCTTTGCATGTGTATTCTCAGGCCTGGTTTGATTTTAATGGAGAAACACAATTATAGCTATGCATAAAAAGGGGCCTCCTTGAGGTGGTCTATCAAAAATGACAGCGTCTGCCCTCTCT